CTGATTATCTATTTTAATTGGTCAAGCTCTTTGATTTCATCACTATAAGACTACTTTGACTATACATCTTGTCAAGAGAGGCATTATTTAAATGTACCTTTTAGGGCTGTTTAATTGTGACCCTCTATTTAGATAGGGACACATAACCTTTTACTGCAGTGGGCTAAATCAAGGTCACACAGAGTGATTCTTGGAAGTCTTAAACAAATCCACTTTGAAACAAAAGTATACACCTCACACACATGGTTATGGGCTTAAATAAAGAAGACACCTGTACCATGTCAGATATAGAGTTGAAATGTATTCAGTTTTGAGTTTGCATCCCAATATTACACTTTATATACACCACAGAAGACTGAAATATAACAAAACTGTTTGACATAGAAACACTGGATTTTCAAAAAAATAGGTTTGAAAAAAAATATCAAAAAAATATCAAAATATCAATAACATTCCACCCATGAGACCAAAGAGGGCGCTTTTGGTCATTGACCGCAAGAAAGGGCTACTCAGCACTGTAAGTGCAGTCATAATTTCACTGCATTTTAAATACACAAAACCTGTTCACTGTGTTTTTTAAAATTATTATAATGTTGATACATGACGCACTGTACATACTACAGGTATATACACCAAACATCAAGATTATAATTCAGAAGATGGGTTTTCTAAAACTATTCCTCAAAAGATATGAGTACCATCTAGCCTCATTGTGCCACCCTGGCATCCTGCCACGTCGCCATCTCACTTTGGTACCTGGCCATGTCAGATGTCCACAAGGGGGCCTATACACTGATCTGTGACCAGGTGCAAACTCCCCACATTAGGTTTATCAAAAAATAATCCAGTCTGTCCACACATTCTCTGGATACTGCTTTCAATAATCATGTGATGATGTTGTTTTTATGTATTACACTTTATGTAGCCTACTATATGTGTGTGTGTGTGTGTGTGTGTGTGTGTCTGTGTCTATGTGTGTGTGTGTGTGTGTGTGTGTGTGTGTGTGTGTGTGTGTGTGTGTGTGTGTGTGTGTGTGTGTGAATACACCCCTGGTTAGAATAGAATCGTCTGCAAAGGATGTTATTGTAATTTAAAAGCTAGCTAATAATTTAAAAGATTAAACCTATTGTGCTCCAATTTACAATCAGTTGCTCCTGAGTAGGTACATTATAATTACACGTGTATCCTTTGCAAAAAACAATGTATTTACATAACATTCTATTCAATATACCCTTTGACACAAGTGATAACATGGAAATAAACTTGTTACTGAAAATAACCTGTTGTTAATGGAAAGGTGTACCTTGTTCCAAATATTGTTACCAGTTCCTAGTCTATTAAGCTCCACAAGACCATATCAACCCTGGGACTACTTTGGGAATTGGTGTTACTGGCCCTGTGTAGTTACATGTAACAACGTCCCTTTGAAAAGTGTAAAACAAAACATATTAGTTGCATACTGGAACGATAAAATGTGTCATAACAAAAATGAGTAATTAGGCAACACGTGGATCTGTAAACACACGGTCCTTGTTCCAATTGTGTAACAACCTATAATGATAAACACTATTACCTTGTGATTATATAGCCATTCTTAAGTAATAATAATGTTGTAGTTAGCAACATAGGCTAGGTATAGAGGCAACAGTGCTACTCAAGCAACAAGTACACTGTTACCCAAGGGTCTTTATGTACCACTATTATTTTCACATGGAAATAAAAATCTAATCAAATCAAATTGTATTTGTCACATGCACCGAATACAAAAGGTGTAGACTTCACCATGAAATGCTTACTTATGAGCCCTTTCCCAATGATGCAGAGTTAAAAATAATAAAAATAATAATAATAACACAAGAGGAATAAAATACACAAGAATGGAGCTATATACAGGGAGCACCAGTACCAGATCAATGTGCAGGGTTACGAGGTAGTTGAGGTATATATGTACATATAGGCATGGGTAAAGGATCAGGATAGATAATAATAAGAGTTTAAAAAAAGAACAGTGTAGCAGCAGCATATATGATGAGTGTGAAAGTGTGTGTGTATGTGTGTGTGTGTGTATGTGCATGTAATGTTGCTTTGAGTACACTGAGGGATGAACTCAGTGTTCTGCCCAAGCTATTTCTCTATCATGCAGATGTTGGATCATAATTTGATCCCCCTGTTGCAGGAGAACTTTCCTGAAATGCAGGAAATGTAAAATTTGTAGTTTATTTGAGATTTTAAAAGGATTCTGGAGTTTATAATGAACACTTTGAAATTTAAAATGTGATTTTCCCTTACGAAAAATGTATCAACACCTATAAAAATGTCCATTAATTATAATCCACATAATAATTCACATTTCCTGTTGCTGCAGGCTTATCTTCTGGCGGTAGCAAAATAACTGGCTCAAATTAAGATCCTACATCTGTATATGTTTCCTTTCATCTGAAATGTAATATTAATTCAGACACCAGAGACAACAAAAAGAACATTGACTTCAGTGAGGAGATTGCATTACTTGTCAACACTCAAGTAAAAAGAAGAACTCAAACATCATGTAACTTTGGTCTTTTCAAGAGTTTATCATTTAGAAATGAGTCATCGTCTCATAGTATTTTAGGAATGTGTCTGTGTGTCTGTACATTAGTTTTAAGACATTCAGTATTTGAGCTATGACCTTTCCAGTTTATTAGTTTAACCGGCAAACATAGCACATCACTGAGTGAGTGGGTACCATTGTGAGAGGACTGCTAATGTTTACTTTCCTCCTCCTTTTCCTTGCTTGTGGTAACAGTGCGACCCAAAGTCATGGCAGATGATGCGCTGTGTTGTGCTATCTGTGTACACAGGCTCTCTGCACAAACAGGCCAGACTGGCCTCTCTCTCCATCAATACCCTCGATGCCAGGAAACAAACCCTGTATTAAAACACAGCCAAAAACACTGTATTCCAATACATGGTGTGATGCAGTTTGACTGGACATGAGGGAGATGAAAATATGACTAGTGTTTGATTATGAAGAGTCAGTAACCCATCAGTCATTTGTATCGCTGTGCTCTTCACTCTTAGTGCTGGGATGAAGTCTGTTTGACCTTGGAGAGGAAATACGTGAAAATACACTCTCTGAAAGCAACATAATCAAGTGCTAAATACTTGAGTTATGTTCTTTAGAAGTGTAGAGCAAATGAACAAGTATTAGAAGGGGTAGTGGCGGAGGCAGGGAGTTATATGCATTCATGATGAATAACAAAAGACAGATGAGTGAATGAATGAATTAGTGACTATTTAACAACCAATTTTTATTGTATTGTGCATGGTGTGTTTTTATGTATCTGCTGTAAGCCACGATGGAAGCAAAATACAAATGTCAATTTTTAGCAAATGAACTTGACCTTGTTGTTTATTCATGTTTGGCCACTGAGGCCTATGGTTTAAATGACAGATGTTCTAATGGTTATGTGTCTAACTGAGGGCAGGGTTTATCTCTCTCTACATGGTCTAATTACAATCTCAGAATAGCTGGGTTATTAAGCAAAAACATAATCTCATGTATAGCAGATCAAGCAATCAGGCTACAAGTAAACCGACACGAAACAAAATATACCCCAAGAGGGGACTTCAACATTCAATTGTGCAATAATGTCCACTAATATCATTTTGATGTAGGCCTACACATGGGGCAGCTAGTAGCTCAATGATACACATCTTAATTGTGGGTTGTTAAGGAATGACAGATGAGAGGGATGTTGATTCATTGCGACTATCGTCCGGGGTCTCCTGCGCTCCCTGGCCAGTGCGGAGCGCCATTGCATTTGTATTCCACCAAAGCTTGTCCACTTTTACGCAGCGCGTATGTCCGGTTCGGGAGTGGGTAGCGATTGCTTTGAAATGTATACCATACTTGCTATTGTTAATGTATTCTATTCGCATTATTGACGCAAGAGCAACAACTCGTGGTAATGAAACGAATTTGAGCACGCCTTCGCAAGTTTGCGTCAAAAGCACGAACGCGTAGGAGAGGTGAAGTGGGTGAAATTGATTGGGAAGTTGAGTCACGTCATAATAACTTTGAGGAGCATCCCACCTTGAAAGAGAGAGAGAGAGAGAGCGAGAGAGAGAGAGAGAGAGAGAGAGAGAGAGAGAGAGAGAGAGAGAGCACATCCAGCGCAGTGCGTGGGTAGCCTAATTTATAATTCTAAATTGTAAATGTAAATGTAAATTGGAGTTGACTATTTCTCGAATGCTCATACATGTTGTGTTTGAATTATTTCAATCTAGGCCTACATATTCTGAATATTGATCAATACCAAAGGAACTAATCAGCTGTGCCGTCGCTGCCCATCCCTCTGAACACACCTCTAAAAAATAATCCGATGATTACCATATTGGTGCTCATCATTCTGTGCCTCAAAACACCCTCGCGCGAGCTCACGCGCACTCTGAGCTGTAGCTACACACGTTCTCTCTCTTTCGCACGCACGCACGCACGCACACACACACACACACACACACACTGTTCAATAGGTTTTCCTCCCAACATTTTCGGGAGTAATCTGTCGAAGCATGCAACAACAACGAATCTGTCGAAGTATGCGTTGATGTTAGATAAAGTAGCCGATGCAACACCTCATCCTAATTTCTAATGTTGTAGTTTTTAAACATTCCTTCTAAGTGGAATAAAACATCGATATTAACGGAAAATAAGAAAGTAAAGTATAATATATATAACGTTTATTTCACACGTTTTAGAAAATCATGAACGCGAGTGAGATCCATCCGTTTGCCTCAAACTAACTTGTAGGCTTCGCTTACCCATTCAAATATTTTCTCTGGCAGGGAAATTGCTCTACCACCAGCATCAGCAGCCACTGCTCCTTGATGTTGTGGTAGAAAATGCGCATGCGCCACACATTGGAATTACTGCACTGGCCAGAATAAGTTGGATCTCGTCTGTCTTCACTGAAATCCAAAATCATATCAAAACTATGGCGGCGTTGAGAATAAGAAAAATGAGCTATTTTGGGGTTTGGACCTTTCCTGTAATAGTGGCTGTGGTCTGTGCGCAAAGGTAAGTGGTCAGTTTAGATGCTCTTCAACATGTATGGCTGTGCTTTACACTGTAGAAAACGCTTAAATAATGCCTTCAGAAGCCTGTAAATATAATATTGTATTCCTTCTCTTTCTCTAGTGTCAATGACCCTAGCAATATGTCAATCGTAAAAGAAACTGTGGATAGACTGTTGAAAGGATATGACATTCGCTTGAGGCCGGATTTCGGAGGTAATTGAAATAATTTAATACCAACTCTAATTGACGTTTCTATTGTCAGCCCTATAACACCCAGTTGTTGCTCTAATTGGGTGGATCGCTTAAATCCCTCTTCTCATTTTTTAAAAGTTAAACGCACATAGCCTACCCCCCGGTTGTCCAGGTAGCCTATAGATACATTGGGCTACCTCGTTCCACATGTGCTAAACGACACGGATTAGGACCACTTTATAACACAATACTAGAAGGGTATTTTACGTTGTAGGCTCTTTCAATGATACACCTTTTGACTGTAGTGTAATGAAACGTGTTTACCAATTCCCCAACCCATTGTTATGTTGGCGATTTGTGTCTAGCCTAGGCTACCTTACGAACGCGGCTATCTCTCTATTCAGGTGGAAAAGCCCTTCTTTATATTCTGCTGGGCTCAAAGGTATATACTTTCAATTTCCTCGGAAGCACTTATACGAAATAAACACCATGCACTGTGTTTTGCGATGAACATCAGAGGCACCGTGCGCACCTGCTTTTTAAAATCCCCATATTGTATCGTGGTATCTGTCTGACAACAAGTCAATGAATGATTGCTCGTGTGCTTCTGGTACGCAGCTGCTATAATTCAAAGTGTTAGGCTACATTTGTGGTTTATGGTATTCATTTAATAAACAAATAAAAATCATGAAATGGTTAACATTACGGTCCGTTTTGTTGATTTTTTGCAGGTCCCCCTGTGGGAGTGGGGATGAATATAGACATAGCCAGCATAGACATGGTATCTGAAGTCAATATGGTAAGTACTCGATTATCACCCTCTCCAAATGATTTGTGGGCATTGCTCGGATATTCCATGCACTGTCTCTCCCAAAGGAAACCCCCCAGCGCACTGCACGGAATAGGCTACTAGTCAAACCAATGCTATCAAAATATTTAGTCTTCTCACCGCTGTATTGATCTGCTGGGTATTGTCAATACACCTACAGTGATTGCTTGGAGAATGGGGTAAGAACAATCCAAAAGCCCTCAGAAGTCATCTCAATGGCAACAACCCATTTTACTATGACTATCGACGTTTTTAAATTCACACCTGTAGGCCTAGCATGTTGTTGCTAATCCACCCATAAGAGAGTTTCACAACTGTGAATGTTTCCTAGAAACATGTTTCAGGTTGTAACCTGAATTTCAATTTATGGCGGTTGATTATGGAAGCTCCTGCCTTAAGGGATGAAGACAAGGTGTTGGTTGACAACATGTCACATACCTGTGTTTGAGAAGAGTGAACAAGGTGGTTTGAGTCTTTGTAATGTGTTTAGCCTGGAAATACTAATGTTTCAAGGAATTTATTAAGGTGATACTGGTGGATACAAGTTTTGCTTCATGCAAGAGCATCCCCTAGTGCTACTTAGTCAGAACTGCATGTCAGTGTAGAGGGTGACAGGATTTGACTGAGAGGTAGGTCCCTCCACCAAACCCTTGGGTATGTTTTGGATAAAATCCATGGTTATGCTTCCAGTCATATCAATATCTCTGCTAATCTCTGCTTTTAGTGTGTTTTAGGTTGTTTTGTCATTTGTTAGATTTGACACTTGTTATGAGAAAAAGTATGCCTCCATTGTAGTAGACGAATAAGGGCTTTTTATATGACACTGAAATTGAAATTATTATAATAAATATAAATAATATAATTAATACATGTATTTAGATTACTGCTGAGTTCACATACAATAACTGCATTTGTGATGAAATAGCAGGCACAGACAAAGGTCTAGCTTTGCTCAGGTTAATTTCTACTCTACTGGTTGTTGAAATGAGGTTTTCCAGTTGAAGTGGGACTCATCATAATACGAAGTTAAGAGCACACAATTGACTATTTTTGGCACAAATACCCATAGGCATTAGTTTAAACTGTTGCCATCATAGTCGTTCCCCAGACCAAATGTAATTCCAGTTGGGTTTATTGTATAAAATAATATGTATGATTAACAAGATGTTACTCGTGGAAGTTGCCCTTGTCCGCCATATTAGTATTCATTTGCATGATGTCAGAGGAAGGCCAGAGAGAGTAAACACATAGATCACTGGTCTAGTGCCCCTCCACATTTTGATTAGTCTGGCTCTGACTCCTGCATGCCTTCATCCAGATTAAACACTGATTTTCATTGTGTAGCCAAAGCGAGTGGTCAACGCACCATGAACTGAAGGTTACGTCATGGTAGGCAGCTGCCTGTGGCAATGTGAACGACCCCTCTGTGATGACAAAAAGTTATGCATCTGCATGTTTAATCTCCTAATAAACGGCCTAATCCATGCTTCATGGTTGGCAGAATTCCTGAATGAAGCACCTGGGTTATTGTTTTAGAGAATGATTTGACCTTTAATGCTTTCAACAAATATGCTCAGCGACTATTATCACACTGCGCTAATCCACAAAGCCGGGCTGGAAGTAAACATAGGAGAGGGATTGTGTTCTTCCAAAACGTTTTTATTTATTTTATTCGATTTAAAAAAAAATCGTTACTTTAAGTAAAATGATCGGCATAATATCATCAAAAATAGTATTGCAATATGTAACTGTATAAATGTTTCCCCCCCATCACTACTCTATGGTGCCTCCTCTTTTATCTCAGCACCCCCAAGCTTTCAGCTCCTCTGAAGATCACTGCTGGGATACGGATGACTTCTTCTTCTCTTTAGACTCTTTAGAGTTGGTTGAAAGCATAAGCCTCTCTACCTCCCCAGAGAAGCCCACATAGAAGTAGAGTGGAAGGAGGGGATGGGACAATAGGGTTTGCTAATGGACCCCTTTTAACAAGAGGCTGAGTGAGGGTAAAGTGTTTTATGTCTACCGACAACCCATCCTCTCCTACCCTCCTCTGCTGTACTCCAGCAGCACCATGTCTTTAGCAGCTCCTCTACCTGCCCCAGACAATGTTAACTCATTAGAGCCAGGGAAGGGAGCTCCGTGGTGGTCTGATTGGTCTGTGGAACAAAGGCCCCAGGTGCCGTCTGTCCTCTGTGGTTGGAATTCACCACGGTTACTGAGTCACGTACAGTATGTTCATCCAGCGTGCAAGGTATATAATAGGCCTGTGTTTGAATGCACATTCCCCCAAAAGGTCCTCTGCTCCTGGGTGCTCTTCCACCCAGAGCCCTGGGAGGAGAGCAAAAGTTAGATGTAAGGCTGGGCGAGGTAAATCCTTGGCTTCAGGCCTGGTGCGTGTGAAAGTGTCATGACATTAACAACCTGCCATTTGCAGTGGCAGCGTCCGTGAGGTTGGAGGGAAGGTCATGCACCTCATGTTGCTTGGGGTTCATATGATTCAGAGATAGACAAACACAATAGAACACACAGAATACAAATGAAATAGAGCAACTGCAACTCCAGGCAGCAAGTTAATTTTTTTTCATGAATGGCTGGCTGGGTAAGTGGTAGAATCTACTGCAGTTTTGCCCTACATTTATACTTTCTTTCTTTCTTTCTTTCTTTCTTTCTTTCTTTCTTTCTTTCTTTCTTTCTTTCTTTCTTTCTTTCTTTCTTTCTTTCTTTCTTTCTTTCTTTCTTTCTTTCTTTCTTTCTTTCTTTCTTTCTTTCTTTCTTTCTTTCTTTCCTTCCACGTTGAGCAATATTACTGTTGAATGAGCAATTTTATTGTTGAAGACTCAGGGAAATAAATACTCAGTGTTGAGGATGAGACAAACTTCTTCTCCTGTTCCAAAAATCAGAAATACCATTATTGATGTAGACAAAGGTCAAGAGGAGCTTATTGATCGCTGGAGAAGATGCTCAGAATGCAGAGCCCTCCATTTTGAATCTCAGAACAGTCGACTCATGGCAGCTGTGGAGATCAAGATATCACAGTCATATCTGTAGAAAACGTTGAAGAACAGACTGTGCTGTATCAAAGGATTACTATACTGTATGATTAAGTGATTGAGAGATACAACGTGGAGTAAAATTTGCCTAAGGCGTGTTTATGTTGGCATAGTTGGGCACATTTATTGCAATAAGTTTAATATATTGTAGTCTGAGTGTTCCTGAGATGACACATGTAGCTGATAGGGGAGAGTGGGGTAAGTTGAGCCAAAGGGTTAATTGAGCCACCCGTTGTTTCTAAGCAACCATACATAACATTAATCACGTGACCAAATATTTAGGAAGTCATCATTTCATGCAGTCTGTGAAGGAAGAAACCAAGTCAAATTAATGAATTGTGTTAGAGGTTTCATGATTCTTGTATCTAAACCAAAGTAAATCATTTAAAGATTGTTCTATACATCAGTTGGGTTTTCTTTAAGTTTCAATATGAGGTCCTAAACCTAGCATGGTAGTGCATCCTTGTAGCTGTGTGGGCTAATATAGTCCAAATGTTTGCCTTAGGGTAAGTTGAGTCATTGGCCATGGGGTTAAGTTGAGCCAATTGTTGAGCCAATAGAAAGTTGAGCAAATTGAGGTATTTTCTTCCCAGGTGTAATACAAGGCATTATCGCTGGGATATGAGGTAACACCAGGGCCTATGTTAAAAAAAGTACACATTGTTAAAAAGTGTAAAAAAAAAAAAAGATACAAAGTGTTTGTTAGGTGTAAAGCATGTGTTAAAAGATGCTTAAAATGATTAAAAGACAAAAGGTGATTGTGATTGTTTTGAATTGTGTTTGGGAAATCAAGATAGACATGGTTTTCAAAACTTGGTGGTCACATTTCATTCAGTACATAAATTAGCAGGCGGCTCAATTTACCCTGTCCCACGGCTCAATTTACCCCATACCTGGGGTAAGTTGTGCCAAGAGATCACTTTTTTGGACAACCTATGTATTCAAAACTGTAATGTTTATTGTTTTGGACAAGCTATGTTTTCAAAACTGTAACTGATTATTTCCAGGGAGACACAACATCCTGAAATACACTGAGTGTACAAAACATTAGGAACACCTTCCTAATATTGAGTTGCACTCCTCTTTTTGCCCTCAGAACAGCCTCAATTTGTCGGGGCATGGACAGTTGAGCGTGAAAAACCCAGCAGCATTGCAGTTCTTGACACACTCAAACCGGTGTGCCTGGTACCTACTACCATACCCCGTTCAAAGGCACTGAACTATTTTGTCTTGCCCATTCACCCTCTGAATGGCACACATACACAATCAGTAAACATGGTCACCCTCATAGATATCATCCTGACTAATTTACCCTCTAAATACACCTCCGCTGTCTTCAACCAGGATCTCAGCGATCACTGCCTTATTGCCTGCGTCCGTAATGGGTCCGTGGTCAAACGACAACCCCTCATCACTGTCAAACGCTCCCTAAAACACTTTAGCAAGCAGGCCTTTCTAATTGACCTGGCCCGGTTGTCCTGGATGGATATTGACCTCATTCCGTCAGTAGAGGATGCCTGGTTGTTCTTTAAAAGTGCTTTCCTCTCCATCTTAAATAAGCATGCCCCATTCAAAAAATTCAGAACTAAGAACAGATATAGCCCCTGCTTCACCCCAGACTTGACTGTCCTTGACCAGCACAAAAACATCCTATGGCGTACTCTATTAGCATTGAACAGCCCCGCGATATGCAACTTTTCAGGGAAGTCAGGAACCAATATACACAATCATTTAGGAAAGCAAAGGCAAGCTTTTTCAAACAGAAATTTGCATCCTGTAGCACTAACTCCAAAAGGTTTTGGGACACTGTAAAGTCCATGGAGAATAAGAGCACCTCCTCCCAGCTGCCCACTGCACTGAGGCTAGGAAACACTGTCACCACCGATAAATGTATGATAATTGAGAATTTCAACAAGCATTTTGTGATGGCTGGCCATGCTTTCCACCTGGCTACCCCTAACTTGTTCTCAACTGGCTTACCTGGTTAAGTAAAGGTGAAAAAAGGTTTCATGATGCTTGTATCTAAACCAAAGTAGATAGTTTTAAGATAGTTTTGTACATCAGTTATGTACAGTATAAGCTATAATATGAGGTCCTAAACCTAGTATGAAAGTGCATACTTCTAGCTCTGTGGGATAATATAGTCCAAATGTTTGCCTTGGGGTAAATTGAGATTATGGGCATTGGGTAAATTGAGCCAATGGCCACCATACCCCATATAAATGATGATTACATTTAGTCAGTTTTATGCATAATAAGCATAGAATTTTTGCAATGTGTCATGATTATGAACTCAAGATAGTGCATTTTTATTGTTACAGAGCAGACATCATCCATTTGAGCAGCAGTAAGGGATGAAAACATAGACTGAATGACACTGAAGAGGTACATTGACAAAAAATAAAACAAACATGTACCTGTGTGAAAGAGAGGCTATGATAGAGTAGCAGAAGCACACAATGTCTAATCTGATGACACGGAGTCTGAGCTTGCTAAACATATCTAGAATCTTGTGGACCAGTTTCATGGGCTTAGTAGCCTCAAATGCAGAGAACTTGCCTACTATTTGGCCAGACAATTGGTCAAGAGATATTGAACAGAGAGATCTGTATCTAAATGTAGGCATACATTTAAATTTACATCATTAAGCAGACGCTCTTATCCAGAGCGATTTACAGGAGCAATTAGGGTTAAGTGCCTTGCTTAAGGGCACATCGACAGATTTTTCACCTAGTCGGCTCGGGGATTAGAACCAGCAACCTATCGGTTACTGGCACAACGCTCTTACCCACTAAGCTACCTGCCGCCCATTTAAGATATACAATATACAGTGGGGGAAAAAAAGTATTTAGTCAGCCACCAATTGTGCAAGTTCTCCCTCTTAAAAAGATGAGAGAGGCCTGTAATTTTCATCATAGGTACACGTCAACTATGACAGACAAAATGAGAGAAAAAAATCCAGAAAATCACATTGTAGGATTTTTAATGAATTTATTTGCAATTTATGGTGGAAAATAAGTATTTGGTCAATAACAAAAGTTTCTCAATACTTTGTTATATACCCTTTGTTGGCAATGACACTGGTCAAACGTTTTCTGTAAGTCTTCACAAGGTTTTCACACACTGTTGCTGGTATTTTGGCCCATTCCTCCATGCAGATCTCCTCTAGAGCAGTGATGTTTTGGGGCTGTCGCTGGGCAACACGGACTTTCAACTCCCATCGAGGGAGATTATCAGTGGTCTTGTATATCTTCCATTTCCTAATAATTGCTCCCACAGTTGATTTCTTCAAACCAAGCTGCTTACCTATTGCAGATTCAGTCTTCCCAGCCTGGTGCAGGTCTACAATTTTGTTTCTGGTGTCCTTTGACAGCTCTTTGGTCTTGGCCATAGTGGAGTTTGGAGTGTGACTATTTGAGGTTGTGGACAGGTGTCTTTTATACTGATAAAAAGTTCAAACAGGTGCCATTAATACAGGTAACGAGTGGAGGACAGAGGAGCCTCTTAAAGAAGAAGTTACAGGTCTGTGAGAGCCAGAAATCTTGCTTGTTTGTAGGTGACCAAATACTTATTTTCCACCATAATTTGCAAATAAATTCATTAAAAATCCTACAATGTGATTTTCTGGAGAAAAAAAATCTCAATTTGTCTGTAATAGTTGACATGTACCTATGATGAAAATGACAGGCCTCTCTCATCTTTTTAAGTGGAAGAACTTGAACAATTGGTGGCTGACTTAATACTTTTTTTCCCCACTGTACCACACCCCATTCCATTAATTTAACTTTGACCTACCTGCACCATCAACCACTGTCACAGGACCAGGCAGGTCACTTGTGATACAAGTCAGTATTCAACGTACATCCATGTCTGAGGACACCGGGAGATGACGTGGAAACCGGCCACTAGGGGCAATAGTGAGCGCTGTTGGTTTTGCTAGGGTGTTGTGGAAGGGGATGGCGGATGGATGTAAGCATCTGTCTCTGGTTCCAAAGGTTGCATGTTGTCTCTGGTTCCAAAGGTTGCATGTTAGAAACTAGCGCTAGAGAGTTGTTTTTGATCATTTTGTTTTAAGCCTATCCCAAACCTTAACCCTTACCTTAACCATTCGGAGTTAATGCCTAACCTTAAGAATTCAGAGTTAATGCCCCCCCTATGGTTAGTTAGCATATATTAGCTAGCAGAGCACAGTAATGTGTGTGAAATTTGCCCAGAGAAATGACTGTTTGCGCTACGTACTGGACAAAATGCAATGCAGGTGCAATATATGTTATCTCCGTAAGGGATGTAGAAGACATTTCAAACTAGATGCTGCTGTACTACATATGGTGGGGAAACCAGTCTTGTCATTTTAATGGATTTGAGATACAATTAAATGATAGATTACATGCATGTTGATGGTGGATCATCCATCCTGGCTGGGCTAGTCTTCTGTGCTCTGGAAATGTGATACTCATGTGTACAGTCTCACGAAGCCATCCTTTCAAATCTTGTCTCGTTGACAAGCAAGCAAATCCGGCTCTTCACAGGCTAGTGTATAGCTAATTGTTTGTCAAGCAGTGTCTTTTAGAAATGAACAAGTTGAAGAGAAGTTTCACAGAAAGGCCAAATAGATTTGGCTTTTTTCCCCCTTAATCTATTCGATTAACATTATTCATGTGATTCATGTGATTAGCAGGTAACCCTGACTGAGACATGACATGCATTTTTCACTAAGGCTGTTGAAAGTCGTAATAATACTGAGTTATCCCTTATACAGCCACATACAAAAAAACTAAACTGCCATGAATTACATTTCCTGGAAAAATACAAATGAATTTTGTTTTTAGTTTTTCATCAGTCAGGCTTTGACGTGTGGCCTGTTACATGGCAAATGGTTTCATTTTCAGTTCACTTGCCCTGTAATGGTGTTTTGGGTCCCTTTCACTCAAAAGCTGTTTACCTATTTAACCTGCCTTTTCCAACTTGACAGCCATGGGAACTAACAAAGCACAGACACAGGCAGACCCACTGGCATTGTATACATTGCATATGCTCGGTTCATGCATCATTCAGGGAAAAGTATGTGCGGAGGGAATTCACAAGAGAGTGTGTGTTTGTATGGGTAGATACTAGAGAGTAACAGCAACGCATACTGCATTCCAAATAATTCATTAGCTTTTGTTTAGATACGTCCCTCTAGAGTTTGGGATCAATTTTATATCCAGTCATACGCCTGATAAAATGCAAAGGACATTGATTAATGATGTTGATGATGATGATGGTGGTAATGGTGAGGATGGTTCCTTGCCTTTTAGATGTGTGGCTGATGAACATAACTGGCATGGAGACAACAAACGATCCCACCGAACTTAATACAGAAGTTGCCAAAGGTGATGGACATATTGCTGTTATCCCAGGATTTGAGCTAGCTATACGTTTTAGATCATTTCTCGCACTTACATCTCACTCTCCAATGTCTGTGGCTGCTCTAGGCACTGTTGTTTTCTAGTGTTGTTGTTGTGATCAACAAACTACAGTGATCTTGATGTCTATGTTCTCTCGGGAGCCTTGGTGATGATAGAGCTAGAATGGCCCACTGCCTCTGTCTATCACAGAACATGGTTCCTAGGGTAACTTTTGTTCTGCATACTCTGTGTTTCACTCAGAGAAAACTAATTCGCTGATTGTATCCAAAAGACACTAGACTCATACATTCCTACACTTGCAGTTTAATTGAAAAGTGAAATTGAAACCAATTTGCTGACCCCATCCGTATGTGGAACTCTGGGGAGAGTCAATTATGGGGCTCTTATGTAATAATCTCTTTGTGGTTATATTACCCTCCATATATTGGTATATTACCTTTTACATGGTGAGGCTCTTGCATGTTACGTATGACAATGTTGAAGATTGCCCTCTGCACTTTACTTCATTGATTCTTGTGAAGTGTATTATTATTGTATACACTGAGTGTACAAAACGTTAGGAACACCTTCCTAACATTGAGCTGCACCCCCTTTTGCCATCAGAACAGCCTTAATTTGTCGGGGCATGGACTCTATAAGGTGTCGAAAGCATTCCACAGGGATTGTGGCCTATGTTGACTCCAATTCTTCTCACAGTTGTGTCAAGTAGGCTGGATGTCCTTTGGGTGGTGGACCATTCTTGATACACACGGGAAACTGTTGAGCGTGAAAAACCCAGCACTCAAACTGGTGCGCCTGACACCTGCTACCATACCCCATTCAAAGGCACTTCAATCTTTCACCCTGTGAATGGCACACATACACAATCCATGTCTAAATTGTCTCAAGGCTTACAAATCCTTCTTTAACCTGTCTCCTCCCCTTCATCTACACTGATTGACATGAATTTAACAGGTGACATCAATAAGGGATCATAGCTTTCACCTGGATTCACCTGATCAGTCTTATGTCATGGAAAGAGCAGGTGTTCCTAATGTTTTGTGCACTGTATACTTTATGTGGCAGCTTAAGTGAGTGGGTGGGGAGTTCCTGTTCGTTATAATCCATAACGTTGCCATGTTGATTTTAACAGCGAAGAGACGTGCGGTGGGCCATGTCACATGACCATCTCCTCCATTACACAAATGAGTCACAAGCTAAGGGGAGCTATGTCATGTTTAGTCAGCCCAGTAATTGTCATAATGGCTGCCTCTGAGCTTTGATATGCCCCTCTTTCATTTCATCAACTTTGATCCAATACCAGAAAAGCAATAAACCTCTTCCATGTACATGTAGCACACCCCCTTTCATTATTAAAGTTAATGAAACAAATGGCGGCTTGTTCCATTTAAAAGGCAATTGCGGTTCGGATTGGAAATGTTAATGTTTCCGTGTGAATCATTTGCCTTAGTGGATTAATTAAGTTGGTTGGAGATTCCAGCACACACAGGCTTTCATCAAGCACTATTTTAAAATTATGTTTGAAAGCGATGAGTTCATCCTAATGGAAGCCTCTGTGCTCATACTGTCACGATCGTTTATAGACTGGACGGACCAAGGCGCAGCGTGATAAGCATACATGTTTATTTAAACGAATGAACACGCGACAAAACAACAAACGAAACGTGAAGTCCAAGGTAACACACAAACATACCATAACTGGAACAAGATCCCACAACTAACAGGTGCCAAAAGGCTGCCTAAGTATGGGCCCCAATCAGAGACAACGAGCTACAGCTGCCTCTGATTGGGAACCACCCCAGTCAACATAGATCTACACATTCTAGATCTTAACATAGAAAAATCAACATAGCAACACACAACACGGAATATACACACCCTGACTCAACAAATAAACGTCCTCAGAGTCAGGGCGTGACAGTACCCCCCCCCCCCCCAAAGGTGCGGACTCCGACCGCGCCACATAAACATAACAGGGTAGGGGCCGGGTGGGCATTCCGCCTCGGAGGCGGATCCGGCTCCGGGCGTGACCACCACTTACTCTCCACCTCCCTGTTGCGCCCCTGGTCTGGTCTGGACCTCGGCGCGCTGCTTCCCCTCTCCTTCCTCCCACGACGTACCAAGCCCTGTCTGGACCCTGGTGTGGGAGACCCCGAACCTGGAGAGGGGCTGACGTCTGGGACTGGACTGGAACCGCTGACTGGAGCTGGACCCGACGACGGTGGATCGAACTGCTCTGGCTCCGGAGTGGAGCCGCTGACCGGAGCTGGATCAGGCACCGGTGGAGCGGACTGCTCTGGCTCCGGAGTGGAGCCGCTGACCGGAGCTGGACTGGACCCTGGTGGAGCGGATTGCTCTGGCTCCGGAGTGGAGCAGCTGACCGGAGCTGAACTGGGCACCGGTGGAGCGGACTGCTCTGGCTCCGGAGTGGAGCAGCTGACCGGTGCCGGACAAGGCACCGGTGGAACAGGCACGGGCCGTGCCGGACTGGACACACGCACCACTGGCTTGGTGCGGGGAGCAGGAACGGGCCGTACCGGACTGACGACGCGCCCCACTGGCCTGGTGCGGGGAGCAGGAACAGGCCGGGCCGGGCCGGGCTGGCAACGCGCACCACAGGCTTGGTGCGAGGGACAGGAACAGGCCGGACCGGGCTGGTGACGCGCACCACTGGCTTGGTGCGAGGGACAGGAACAGGCCGGACCGGGCTGGCGACGCGCACCACTGGCTTGATGCGAGGAGCAGGAACGGGCCGGACCGGACTGCGAAGGCGGACTGGAGGTCTGGAGCGGAGAGCTGGCACAACCCGTCCTGGCTGGCTGCCCACTTTCACTACACATGCGGGGCGCTGGCACAGGACGCACTGGGCTGTGCACGCGCACTGGCGATACAGCTCGTAGAACAGGCGCAGGATATGCGGGACCGAGGAGACGTACTGGAGACCAGGAGCGTTGAGCCGGCACACCCCGTCCTGGCTGAATGCCCATCTTCGCACGACACGTGCGTGGTGCTAGCACAGGATGTACAGGACTGTGCCGGAACACTGGCGACACAGTACGAAGCTCCGCATAACACGGAGCCTGCCCAGTCACATTCCTCCTCGCGTAAGTACGGGGAGTTGGCTCTGCTCTACCTCTAGGCTCCGCCAACCACCCTTTTAGCACCCCCCCAACATTTTCTTGGGGCTGTCTCTTGGGCTTCTTCCTCGGCCGGCGCCTTCCACGTTGCCGCTGCTCCTCTCTATATCGCGCCTCCACTGTCTCCTCCCAAGGACGGCGATCCATCCCGGCCTGAATCTCCTCCCAAGTCCAGGATCCCTTCCCGTCCAGGATCTCCTCCCAGGTCCAGGCTGTCTGCTCCTGGACACGCTGCTTGGTCCTCGTATGATGGGATCTTCTGGCTAGGGCATGGATGGGGAAGGGCACATCAACTGGTATAAGGGGAATCCCTAACTTATACGAGAAACTGCGATCAATAAAATTCCCAGCTGCGCCTGAATTGACTAGCGCCTTATGCTGGGAGTGAGGAGAAACCTCGGGAAACACAACTTGGATACACATGTGTACAACAGAGAGCTCTGGGTGATCGAGGCATCAGTGCGTGGCCTGCTGCCTCGATCCCTAGGAGACCCTCCCCAGCACCGAACCGCAGTGTGTCCTCTGCGGCCACAGTTGGTGCAGGGGACGGCCTCTCTCCTGGTCTCTCTCTTCTTCTCTCTAGCACCAGCACCCCCGAGCTCCATAGGGCTCGGCTCGGAGGTGCTGGGGGATGGAATGGACGGCCCCAGCTCCGGACGTCCGCGGGTAGCCAACAGGGTATCCAGACGAATCGACATGTCCACCAGCTGATCGAAACTTAGGTTGGTGTCCCTGCAGGCCAACTCTCGGCGAACGTCCTCCCTTAGGCTGCACCTATAGTGGTCGATGAGGGCCCTCTCATTCCATCCCGCATTGGCAGCCAGAGTCCGGAAATCCAGTGCGAATTCCTGCGCGCTCCTCTTCCCCTGTCTGAGGTGGAACAGACGCTCCCCCGCCGCTTTCCCCTCTGGGGCATGATCGAAAACCGCACTGAAGCGACGGGAGAACTCCGCATAACTGACTGTAGCGGCGTCTATTCCCCTCCACTCGCCGTTGGCCCACTCCAGTGCCTTGCCGGACAGACAGGAGATGAGGGCGGAAACACTCTCGTATCCCGAGGGCGCCGGGTGGATGGTTGCCAGGTAGAGTTCTACTTGAAGCAGGAAACCCTGACACCCGGCAGCGGTGCCATCATAAGCCCTCGGGAGCGAGAGCCGAATCCCACTGGACTCCGGAGATGGAACGATGGGTATGGCTGATGGTGGTGTTATTGTTGGAGGAGGTGTGGGCAAACCTCCTCTCTCCCATCGGCTCAAGGTAACCATCACCTCTTGCATGGCGGTGCCCAGTCTCTGGATCATGGCGTCTTGGTGGATTACGCGCTCCTCCAGTGATCCCGTTGGCACCGCTGATCCTGCTGACTCCATGTAGGGTGTGTTATTCTGTCACGATCGTTTATAGACTGGACGGACCAAGGCACAGCGTGATAAGCATACATGTTTATTTAAACGAATGAACACGCGACAAAACAACAAACGAAACGTGAAGTCCAAGGTAACACACAAACATACCATAACTGGAACAAGATCCCACAACTAACAGGTGCCAAAAGGCTGCCTAAGTATGGTCCCCAATCAGAGACAACGAGCTACAGCTGCCTCTGATTGGGAACCACCCCGGTCAACATAGATCTACACATTCTAGATCTAAACATAGAAAAATCTACATAGCAACACACAACATGGAATATACACACCCTGACTCAACAAATAAACGTCCTCAGAGTCAGGTCGTGACACATACTGTGTTTCCATGTTGACCCTCACTCTCATCCTAAAACATTATTTTGTATTAATCTTATAGAAAAAGGTATTGGCAGTCTTTCTGGATACACAGACACATGTGGTTGTTGTGTTTTGTCCTTCTAGGACCATACAGTAACATCTAATTGCTTTTGCACTTTGTCTGCATCTTTTATTGATTGGCTGAATTTGGAAACACTGGGTTAATACAATTGTCACATGATGTCACACATGAACTAAATCATCAAACATTCATAATTTTTTGGGGCACCTTTGGTTTATGTAAGTGGCCATGTTATTTTCACACACTTAAACAATGACATTCTGCTTTTAATTAGACGGAACAAGAGGGATATTCCCCAGTTAAACTGGAGCATAAATATTCATGTCTCTAGCACCCATGGCAGTAAGTTCACACTGCAGACTCAACAAGACTTTACCAACTTGACTTCTAATGGTTGGAGGCTCCCACTTGTCTGCTCTGCTCAAGAAAGGCCTGTCATGGCTCATTAGAAATACAGGCTATCTTATCCACTGTACAGTCCAGTATATATGGCATGAGTGTCATTATATAGTGCAGCACCACGGAGCCACCTGCTTGCCCATTACAATCATGTGACTTGTGACTAGTGTCGCACACACTGTTGGTAGTGGGGGCCACTAGAACTGTTGGGGGACCTCTTGTTGGTCCTATTTGGGACATTGAAGAGGCTGCTATGGAGAATCTGAACAACTGCCAAGACGTAGGCCTAGTTAACTAGCATGTGTTAAAAAGTGTGACTTAGCTGTGCTCCTATCTTGGCTATAGATGATAATGGCTGTCATTATCAGCCATTATCTGTCATTATCAGTCATTATTATCAGGCATGTGAACATGGGAATTCTTATTCTCTCTACCAGGAATTGCATTCAGACAGAGGGAGTGAAAAATATAATGTCTGTCACTCATTTAACATTTGTTCATAGAACTTCAACTTGCTCTAGAATCACTGTTGATCACCCCTGGCTCCAGCCAATCTCATTGTCAATTCCCTAAGCCTGTGTGCTGAGGTTGTTGGGCTGAAGTTGAGTGAGGCTTTATAGTACCAGAATTAAACCTGTTCTTCGCCAGTAAGGCCCACATCTGCTGAATCATGCCTCTCTGCCAAGTTTCTACACTGTCTGTAGAGGTTATTTCTTTTTTTATTGCTTTCTCAAATACTTACGCATCACTCATCCGCAACTGTCTGCACACCCTAACTGCGCCCTCTCTCACCCTCCTCCACTCCTTCGCTTCACATATATTCCATATCCTGTCTTGTTTATCATGCATTGCATGCTGTACCTCCTCTGACATATCTCCTTCCCACTCCACCTCTCAGTTTTTGCCCTATGCTCATGCTACTTGTCTCTCTCTCTCTCTCTCCCTCGCTCACTGCCTCAATCCCTCCACTCTTGTTATGTCTTTGATGGGTGCCAGCTGAAAACCCTTGGATTCACAGCTGTAAAAGTCAGCTGGCCCTAGAACTCATTGAAAGTATTGGAAAATCATTGAAAGTATTGGAAATTGTTTTGAAACCCAGCGAAAAACAAACAGGTTTTACAGCATTTTGTACCTAAGAAATGTGTAAGGATGATGAAAGAATTCCAATGGGGTGTACCCATGGTTACTAAGTGTGAGATTGGCCTAGCTGGGGGAAGTGGGAGAGCAGAGGAGGGTACCTAGCCTTAAGGGAACACAGACAGTCTGACGGAGTGATGCTATTACTGTATACTGGATAGGCCCCTTCCATAGCCTAGCATAGCATGGCTGGGGGGACTCTAGTTTAGCTATACCCTCATTCTCATTTAACAGCAATCATACACACATTGACAAACACTAATGATTTACTGCTTAAATTATTATTAATGATGCAGAGATTGCTTATCATGCAATTAGGGATAGTGCTCCAAATGTCAAGGGAAGGCAGGCATGTAATCAATTCCCTGTGGTTAGACCACAGTAGTTATTCACTGATTCAGTGGTGCTGCTGACAGTGAAGAATGAGCTGGGATGTATAGCCTTCAGGTCGTAGCTGCAGCACTATGCACATAGGCTGCTGCATCTTGCTTGCTTGTCACAGGGCAGCGTTGGGAATTGACAACATATTGTCTTGTGCTCATTGTGGAACGATAATCTCCCCACCTGTTCTCTCACAGCGTTCGAGAATGGCTGAGGCCGGCACTACGGAACGGACAAGGCGGAGTGACAAATGAAAGTGGGTTAATCTCCGCCAGTGCTACTCTCTCTGTGCTGTTCGGGATGCAGCACCGATGGAGCTTGCTCTATTTATTTAGTGTTAATAGTCACATGTGGCTGTCCCTCTGTCACTAATGGGCCCAGCTGGGGTGCTGGGCAAGGAACACTGAACACTGGGCTCTCCTATCTGATGTGAATATTGTGCATGGGGAAATGAACACACAAACCTAGATTTGTCTCTGTTAGATAAATAGCTGACTGGCAATGACACATGGATGTGTGACTGATATATTTCTCTTCACCTTACTACACAGTAGAACATGCAAATCAATTTATAACATTTTTGACATGCGTTTTTCTGGATTTTTTTGTTGTTATTCTGTCTCTCACTGTTCAAATAAACCTACCATGAAAATGATAGACTGATCATGTCTTTGTCAGTGGGCAAACGTACAAAATCAGCAGGGGATCAAATACTTTTTTCCCTCACTGTATAGCACTGTAAGAATGTAAGATCAATACATCCACTAGAACATACCAAAAGCCAATCGACTCCAACTCTGAAGAAATCTCAAAAGGTTCTAACAGTAAAAATCTAAAGCTGGAATAAGAAATGCTCTACTCTGCAGTGAACTACCGGCCTATCCCTCTACCTGTGTGATGGAAAGCAGATATAGCCACTCCACTCCACTGACACTGTGTATGATTCGAAGATTAATCAAGCTATGTCTACAGTCTTGAGTGTGAAGGAGCTCCTCACAGTTATTTCATATATGAAGTGTTAGCGCTGTGCCTGTGACTGGACAGCGAGTCATTTCAGCCAGCCACAGTGTGAGGTACAGAGGTGAGAATAGGTGTCGCTGCTCACGCTGACTAGAGATGGAGTGTTATCATTCTGCTGTCTCAATGCGTCATGTCATCAAGGACTCTAATTGGCTATCCGGCAAGCCACCTTTGAACAAGCTACAGTATATCTGTTTTTTCCCTCACTGAGTTTAGCTGAGAAAAGAATTGAGAAAAGAATTGTGAGTTGTCAATGGTCAAACATACTGTATCTAAAGAGACTTGTCAAATCACTGTATTGTTCTTCAGCAGGGATGATTGCATTTAATGAGGAACCCTGTAACCATGGAAGCTCTTAGAAAATTCAGCTTAAGAACTCAGATTTAAACCAAAAATACTGGTAAAACACTTTCGGCTCACATGAGCTCACTGTCTCTCCTCCCTGTGCTGTCTCGCTGTCTTACATTCCCGCTTTCGTCTTTTTCTTCATCAAGTGGAAGTAGAGAGGTAAATTAACCCAAGAACAACTAAGGTGCTTTCTGGGCCAAGTGGTTTGCATCAGCAGTTTTGCTAAAGCTGATCCCCAAAACAATTCCTGCGCTTTTAATTATGCAGGCCGACAACAGTGGCTAAGGGAGCTAACTAAAGGAGGGGAAACAGAGGGAAGCATGAAGGGAGGAGGATTAGTGGGTCAGGGTTGCCCAATGCGTGGGGTTATGCATTATTCCCTTCCCTCCATTCCGAGGAGGATATGGGCTTTTTGCATGTGGGAACGGACAGATTTCTGCCTCCTCTTTCTCTCTCTCTCACTCTCTCTCTGGAATATCCACTGTAACATCCCAGACTGAATTCAGTGGGATGGGAAATACAGAGAAATGGAAGGAAAACGACAGGGTTTATCTCACGTAATGGATTAAATTCAGGGAACTGGATGTTGTTGAAATGGGTAGTCAATTTTATATCCTCAATGTACTACGGTTTGCCAGCAAAAATCCAGCATGCGTGGGGAATTATTCCCCCTGAAATATTCTCAGTCAGTGTACTTGTGTTGCAGTCAAATGAACCCCCATCTGACAACTTCATCACCAGTTCTGCTCTATCACATGCAACAGGGTTTAGTGTGTATCGCATCCAAAGTGCCTTCGGAAAGTACTATTTCCACATTTTGTTACGTTACAGCCTTATTCTAAAATTGATTAAATTGTTTTTTTCCTCATCAATCTACATACAATACCCATAATGACAAAGCAAACATTTTATTTATTAAAAATTAAAAACAGAAATATCACATTTACATAAGTATCCAGACCCTTTACTCAGTACTTTGTTGAAGCACCTTTGGCAGCAATTACAGCCTCGAGTCTTCTTGGGTACACCTGTATTTGGGGAGTTTCTCCCATTCTTCTCTGCAGATCCTCTCAAGCTCCGTCAGGTTGGATGGGGAGCATTGCTGCACAGCTATTTCCAGGTCTCTCCAGAGATGTTCGATCGGGTTCAAGTCCGGGCTCTGGCTGGGCCACTCAAGGACATTCAGAGACTTGTCCCGAAGCAACTCCTGCGTTGTCTTGGCTGTGTGCTTAGGGTCGTTGTCCTGTTGGAAGGTGAACCTTCACCCCAGTTCGAGGTCCTGAGCGCTCTGGAGCAGGTTTTCATCAAGGATCTCTCTATACTTTGCTCCGTTCCGTGGAACTCTAGAGCTCTGTCAGAGTGACCATTGGGCTCTTGGTCACCTCCCTGACCAAGGCCCTTCTCCCTCGATTGCTCAGTTTGGCTGGGCGGCTTGGCCGGGCGGCCAGCTCTAGGAAGAGTCTTGGTGGTTCTAAACTTCTTCCATTTAAGAATGATTCCTTCGACCTCATGGCTTGGTTTTTGCTCTAACATGCACTATCAACTGTGGGACCTTATATAGACAGGTGGGTGCTTTTCCTAACCATGTCCAATCAATAGAATTTACCACAGGTGGACTCAAATCAAGTTGTAGATACATTTCAAGGATGATCAATGGAAACAGGATGCACCTGAGCTCAATTTCAAGTCTCATAGCAAAGGGTCTGATTATATAGATAAGGTATTAAAGTTTTTTATTTGTAATAAATGTGGAAATATTTCTAAAAACCTGTTTTCGCTATGTCATTATGGGGTATTGTGAGAAGATTGCTGAGAATAAAAAATATCTAATATTTTTTAGAATAAGGCTGTAACATAACAAAATGTGGAAAAAGTCAAGCGGTCTGAATACTTTCCGAAGGAACTGTAGATAGATATAATTCTGCTCAAAAACATGTTTAAAAATGCAGGCTCCGCTCCCAGATTCAACTTCCCTGTGACAGAAGAAACAGAACTCAATATTGTGTGCTCCATTTCTCTTTATGGAGGTTGCCATTTTGAATGTATTATTGAAAGTTGGACCTTTAGGGTAAATGCCATTAAGATGCTTACTTTGGGTTTCTTTTGAACACTGTTTGACAGCAAACCTAGTCTCGCGGTTTATGCCTATTCATTAGCTGATGTGAGGTGTGTCTATTTTGGGTCATTCTTGAATTGCGGTGGTAAATTCTTTCCCTTGATTTTGGCACTGTGTAAAAACACTTAAACATTTCAAAAACATTACAAATAATACATTTTCAGGTTTATTTAACTGTTATTTAATAAGAACCGATGTAAGTCCTTGATAATGCAAAACATATATTTATTTGTATGCATTGTAGAAACTACTAGGGCCTAGCAAATTGGATTGTCTCACTGGATTTAGAGATATCTGTCTATTATTTGTCTATTATTTAGAGTACTAGAATGTGAACACAAGTATTTCATATAGTATATACTCTATCAATAAAAACAAAGAAGGCTATTAAAGTATACAGTATATATATTTTTTGGTATAATGTGTGCCCCTCAGTTTTATGTCATTGGTGTTACCGTCTTGAAAATCACATCAATTACAATACAAGGACCTTGAGTATTCTCTCCAGTGGCAAACTGTTATCGGAGAAGGGGTGTATATTAAAGAAAATTATTAGCTAATTACATCCTTTTAGTATGTCATACATTTGAGGATTCCATTGATAATTTGGGTGTCTAAATCCAAAGTGTCACTTGGTTTCAGTCAATTTAAATGAAGGGAAATAACATTGTTAGCAAAATGATTAATCATATCACTTTAGTCAATTATTTTTAAAGAATTGATGACCTTACATTTAAGCATTTGTGGCCTCCATTTCAGAAAACCCAAATGTACATAACATTTCTCATTGGCGTTACCATCATTGGTGTTACTACTCCTACTGGTGGCACAATGTTATCATAATGGTCCAAATGATTTCATGTTGTTAAGCTACCATACTAGTTGATTTAGAATGGGAAGATGTACCCAATTACATTTAAATACATTTTTCACAAAATGCCATGCCCAAGGCCGCCATAATTCAAGAACGATCCCTCTCCCAGTTTGGCATGAAATGTGCTTGTGAGGAAAGATTCAATCTCACTCAGAAATAACATGACTCCTTGAATATCCCAACATTATTTAAAGTCCTTAAGCTACCATATCAGTTGATTTAGAATGAGAATACATTGAAATAAATACTCCCCCCCCCCCCCCCCCCACACACACACACACACACACACACACACACACACACACACACACTTCGCAAAGCCCCCTACACTCTCCTGTAGGTCACACCAACTGAGAGGAGATATTGCTTCTTTAAGGGTGTCCCTGGACAAGGATGTATGTGCAAGCCTCAAGTGTGGCCGATCCACACTGACTGACAATTGTGTGTCAGAAACAGCAGGATGCTTTTCCACGATGAGAACTCGCCTGACATCGATCCCTAAATGTCAATGTATTACAGTATCTCGTTGTTGACAATATGAGATTTGGTTATGTTTTCGCTACACTACTGGAATAGCAATAAAGCTGCTCCTCAGACCTCCATAATGCATGAGGAATTGAGCCTCCTAGCTCCGTTTGCTTAGAGTATGTTATTTTCTGTGTGTGGGAGTCCGAGGAATTTGGAGGCTCTGGAAAGGCAGAAGCTTGGCAGAACAACCCTCTGAAACATACAACACACACCCACACTCAGCCATACACACAGCGTCACTGATACTTAGGCTACATACTGTGCACACTCACCCAGGCACACACTTACTCACACACAGCATGAGCGCACAAACGTAGGCTTGTGATTACGCGAGCACACACACACCAAAGCACGTGCACACAGACAGGCACACACACACATACACATAGACACACACACACACACATAAACACACGCACACACACACAGAGGAAGAGGATGAGAGGCAAGTAAGTGGGAGAAATGGCATGGAGAGAAAGAGGCTAACATAGGCTCTAATGTTAGGCTGGTTTACATTCTGACGTCCACAGCTGAGATAGAAACTCTTGTCAACTTCCCCTCTTCCCCTTGAACTAAAAAGAGCCCTAATAATCTTATCCCCTCTTCCGATGCCTCCCTATCCATATAAATTGCCACTCAAGTCAACGTCATTCTGGGACACAAAAAGGCCTGCAGATGCACCAATCATATCAAATAAATTGCAAAATACAGTCAGTTAACTGCACTGATGCCAACCACAGAGCTATTGGCTTGTGCTCGGGGATCGCAAAAAAGGGCTTCCTAAATTCAATTCCCCTTCACAAGCCAAACATAACTGAATGTTATGTCCGGGACAAGCTAAATAATGAAGGAGTAGAGAGGACCTAAAGCGAGTGGAGGGTATTTAGGCTATACGGCACAAGAGCTAGTGCCTTATTGAAACGCTCCTCTACTCTCCAACAGGCTATACTTAGGAAATGATCAGCAAAAGACAAAAAGCTGACAAACCCTGTAAGAGGTTTAGTCCTCAGAGAAGAACAATGCCCTCTAGAAATCCAATCATCCAATCAGAAAATGCTCTTTTGTTGCTTGAGTCTCTGTATCTGAGGAGTGAAACCTCCTCTAAATGAACATGACACACTGAATTGAGACAGCTGTGCCTGTTTACTGGCTACTACGCCATTTCTATACATTGCAATTGGTCGTGGTTGGTTTCTCCGCTTCACCCTGTCATACAATAGCAGCATTTGTATTGTGTTTATATTTCACAGGGCATTGGAGCAATATATGGCATTCCTTTGCTGATATTCTGTGCAGTGTGGACAAGCTGTTCAAAGGATTCCACAGATACAAGTATCCCAGGGGACTGGGTGGATATATACATTATACAGCTGTGGGTATAAATCTGTTGTCTATTATTAGGAAACATTCTGTAGCAGTGCTGTATACTGTAGATAGGCTATGTGAGTGGAGTAAGGGATGCGTCTTTTTTAAGAGCTTTTCCAGTGACTGAACATCAGACCGTACTGTGGACATCTGGTTGAATCATGTCTTCTCACTCATTCAATTCCAAAGACTGGAGGAAAGTGTGAAGCTGCTTTAGGATTCAGGTGTCAGCAGACTTTTGCTGCCATGCCATGTGAGATATTCCAATTCACTCTTGTCATAAACTCTTTAAAACCATCTAGCACCTTCCAACATGATCCAACACCAGCTATGTTTTATGGATAAAGTAGCTTCCTTGGCAGTATTTATTCAGTAATAATGATCAGATGTGTTCACACACTTGCTGTGAAAGTGTCAGGACATTTTTATTATTCAACAGAGGCACGTGGATTGACGCAAGAGGTGCCTCCCCAGAGATCGAGTTGGAAAGTCACAAAGATGGAGAAGAGAGAAGGAGTTACACATTTACATTTTAGTCATTTAGCAGACACTCTTATCCAGAGCGACTTACAGTTAGTGAGTGCATACATTTTTCATACTGGCCCCCCGTGGGGATCGAACCCACAACCCTGGCGTTGCAAGCTCCATGCTCTACCAACTGAGCTACAGGAGGCCTAAATAAAGAACAGAGGGAGGTTGAAAGTGGAGAGTGGTGAGAATAACAGCAATTTTCATCACTGCTTCACTGAACTTTCCTTGGCTTTCATACTCCATCCCTTCCAGCAAACATACCACTGCCATGAAATGGATAACTCACTTCAAGGGTAGTGGGTGGTGAGGAAGCAGAAATATAACCTATAGTCCCCCCTCCACCCGCTCCCCCCACCACCATCCCGCTCCACCTCAGTCCAGTCAGGATGGGGGACTGGTTATTTGGGGGAATAGTAATGAAAACGTGGCCTTAGTGCATGCTCTGCTGTGCCCTGCTATTGCCACTGCCAGGACACATAGGCAGAATCTCTACCCCGAGGCTGTGTCTTATCCACAAATCGTGCCTGCAGCGTTCTTGGCCCAACACGGGTCAGTCGTGCCAGGGCTACTCGACATGGTTTTTTGTTTAAGTATTGTTGTTTTCAATCTCTGTGTGTATCGGAAACGAAACGCATGCAATGGCATGGAGAGAGGATATGTCTTATCGCCATTTTCGGCGATAAGGAGCAGGGTTATATACAAGGATACAAAATGTGGACACTTGATTAATCCCTGTTGAATATAGTATTGGTAATGAATCCTTACCTTCCTGTCAGCAGCTGAGTGAACATTACTAATTGCACAACACTCTTAAGGTACTCAGGTCTGGCCTGTGGCTCAACGTGTCCCTTCAGTTAGCATTCTGTGAAAGCATCTTAGGCTGCAGTGGCCACTTACTGAAGTGAAGCACTTGCCCTGAGTCTGAGAGGAGAAAAAGGGTTTTGGAAACTTTCAAAAGGTAGAAAGAAAATGAAACCTTTAGATCTAACTGAATAATGCATAGTCATAATCTAGGTTTTGATGGTGAAGAGGATTGTTTTGTGACTGCCATAAGGGCCAGACTGAGCCATTGGATGCAGCCATTTGTTAAAGGGGTTTGTTCATTTAAAGCCACCAGCAGTGCGAGAGTGGAGAGAAATAATGACTCTATTGTCGTCCTCACTAGCAGCCCAGCTCTCATAAATCTAGCCGTCTCTTTTTCTCTCCTCTAACTTAGATTACTTAGTGATGCTCATTAACACTGGTGTTATGACAGACTCCTCCACACTGACACTGGCTAGCACTGCTATTCTGTTGATTCTCAGCAGCAATTCCCCACCACCTCCTCCTCTCCTTACAGAGAGATGGAGGCTATAACACGCCTTTGAGGAGCTCCATGTTTTACTCCAGTCCCAGCAACTTTGGCACAGTGGCACATCAGCAGGGCCATCCTGCTAAGCAAGCCTCCCCTCTCAGGTAACGCTGGTTCAAGACTATAGCAGAAATGGGATGCCGAAGGGACTCTTTATCCCTCAGCCTAATAAGCCACAGCCATAATGCACTCTTTATTCAAGTGTGGGGTCTGTCCAAACTTTTGACAGCTGTGAAAACTCCTGTGTGAAATTAGGAAATGCCTCACAGGAAATGCCTACAGTGATTATGTAATCGCTAACGCCAACATGCTTCATATTGCATGATATTTCAAAATGATGTGAATACTGCTGGTAGTAGGTAATAGTAGGCTTTATTGGCAAATTCGCAGTCAAAGACTGAATTGTACATACATTTACAATCATAGATCAAAATCAAATAGTAAAATCCTAAACTAATCCTAAACTGCTGGTGTAATCCTTATGCCAGGTGAGAACAGATGCAGTTTACCCTTAATCCAAGGGACTATTCCCTTGACACACACAGTGAGCAGTCATGGCAAACTATTTGTTATCGTACATGGATCTATAAATGTTCATATTTCTCTGCCTGAATAAACTTTGACTGATTTCCTTAAATGAACTGTAACTCAGGAAAATCTTTGAAATTGTTGCAGTTTTGAAACTGCAGTAAAAGTGCAGTAACTGCAGTCGACTGTGGTATTTTGGACACAGCAATTGCAGAATAACTACAGTGTACTGCAGTTGAACTGCAGTTATACTGCACTCTAACTGCAGTTATACGGCAAGATTACTGCAGTAAAAAAATTTTATCTTTTGGACGCAGTATTTGCAGCATACTGCAGCTATACTGCACTCTGACAGCAATCTTTTTTTGTAAGGGGCGTTTATATTTTTGTTCAGCTGTAGGTGCCTATATACTGGCAGATCTCTGTAACAGCACGTTACCTCATAAACAGCCACCCTGAATGATAAAAAGATATTTCCTAACCTGGCATAAACCATTAACACCTAATAATAATAATAATATGCCATTTAGCAGATGCTTTTATCCAAAGCGACTTACAGTCATGCGTGCATAAATTTTTTTGTGTATGGGTGGTCCCGGGGATCGAACCCACTACCTTGGCGTTACAAGCGCCGTGCTCTACCAGCTGAGCTACAGAGGACCAACAATTAACCTAGAACAGGTATTAGTATTTTCAATAGACAGTGTTAACACACCTCACAGGCAATACTATTGATCAATCGACACAACAATGACCAACAAATAACACTTTACTCAGTATAGATACGTAATTTGCATAAACATTTACATTTTTGATAAGCAGTAAAAACATCCCTAGCCGGAAAAGGAAATACAAACATTTCAAAATGATGATAATTATAACCAGGCTCTGATGTTTGTTCTTTAATGTTATGATGCACAATGTTTGATGGGACTTGCAATAGCATAGTTAGCTCAGCAAACATGTTAGCAACACACTGTTGCAAACAACGAGTTAATATGGAGAGAAATGGAGGGATATGTTGGGAGTGAGACACATGATGATAGCTCACTGGCTCAATCTCTGCTTTCATGCCCCCCTTTCTAGTCAGTCCATTTAGTGCAGTAGATATAGGGATGTCATCATCTTTGCAACCAACAGGCATATCGAAAATGCATTTTCAGCCTCTGTTAGGAGAAGTGGATCTGCCAGTGGTGACAAAAGTGTCCTGACACAGCAAGTTTCCCCAAGTTTATTTTTCATGGATGGATGGATGGATTGCTGTGCCTCTTATTGTTAGCGTAGCAGGAGCAGTGTGCTGGCTTGGCTGTTTGTTCCAAATTCACTCTGACCATTTTGCAATACTCCCTGGCTAACCCCACAAATGATTATATTCAGCTGAAATGCAATGTGCTCTGCAACTCTTATTTTGTCATTTGTTGTTTTACAGAGAATATTAGTAATCATTTGCAGCGACATAAGTCAATAAAGTTGCGTATGAAGTCAGGACTAGGCTAAGTTACAGAGGAGGTAATAAACCTGAAGTAGTCAATATACGGTATATGAAGTGGGGTCATATTTTCTCTCCTATTTAATAGCTTGTTTTTCTATTAAACGTATTGATGATGTAATCTCTACAGTACACAGATACACTTTAAACAGAATACCTGTTTTACAGTGCAGTGCAGACATACACTACATGACCAAAAGTCTGTGGACACCTGCTCGTCGAACATCTCATTCCAGAATCATGGGCATTAATATGGAGTGGGTCCCCCCTTTGCTGCTATGACAGCCTCCACTCTTCTGGGAAGGCTTTCCATTAGATGTTAGAACATTGCTGCGGGGACTTGCATCCATTCAGCCATGAGCATTAGTGAGGTCAGGCACTGATGTTAGGACGATTAGGCCTGGCTTGCAGTCAGCGTTTCAATTCATCCCAAAGGTGTTCGATGGGGTTGAGGTCAGGGCTCTGTGCAGGCCAGTCTAGTTCTTCCACACCGATCTCGACAAACCATTTCTGTATCGACCTCGCTTTGTGCATTGTCATGCTGAAACAGGAAAGGGCTTTCCCCAAACTGTTGCCACAAAGTTGGAAGCACAGAATCGTTTAGAATGTCATTGTATGCTGTAGTGTGAAGATTTCCCTTCACTAGAACTAAGGGGCCTAGCCCAAACAAAGAAAAACAGCCCCAGACCATTATTTATCCTCCACCAAACTTGAATGTTGTTGGCACTATGCATTCGGGCGGGTAGCATTTTACTGGCATCCGCCAAACCCAGATTTGTCTGTCGGACTGCCAGATGGTGAAGCGTGATTCATCACTCCAGAGAATGCGTTTCCACTGCTCCAGAGTCCAATGGCGGCAAGCTTTATACCACTCCAGCCGACGCTTGGCATTGCGCATGTTGATCTTAGGCTTGTGTGCAGCTGCTCGGGCATGGAAACCAATTTCATGAAGCTCCCTACGAACAGTTATCGTGCTGATGTTGCTTCCAAATGCAGTTTGGAACTCGGTAGTGAGTGTTGCAACCAAGGACAGATGATTTTTACGCATTACGTGTTTCAGCACTCGGCGGTCCCGTTCTGTGAGCTTGTGTGGCCTACCACTTCGCGCTGAGCCGTTGTTGCTCCTAGACGTTTCCACTTCACAATAACAGCACTTACAGTTGACCGGGGCCGCTCTAGCAGGGCAGAAATTTGACAAACTGACTTGTTGTAAAGGTGGCATCCTGTGACGGTGCCACATTGAAAGTCACTGAGCTCTTCAGTAAGGCAATTCCACTGCCAATGTTTGTCTATGGAGATTGCATGGCTGTGTGCTCGATTTTATAAACCTGTCAGCAACGGGTGTGGCTGAAATAACCGAATCCACTAATTTAAAAGGGTGTCCACATACTAGTGTATATATAGTGTAGCTTTTAGGCAAAGCCGTAAACATTTGACTTGATGTATGAATGCACAATGCCAACGGAGGGTCTGAAACTCTGCACTCTTGCTACTGAAATCATAACATGCTTTTTTATTTGGACATGCTGGCATTTGTTATGCACATGTGCAGTAGTACTAAGCCATTGCAGACAACATTGTCTTGCTAAAATAACGTTTTTTCTCTATAAATCTGTCAATACAAATGGTCAGACACTACTCATGTTGAGTTACATGACATGCTTTTAAGTTAACATCATGTAATATATGACATGCCATCCTGTTACCCTGGTCCCCAGTAACCTCTCTCTCTCTCTCTCTCTCTCTCTCTCTCTCTCTCTCTCTCTCTCTCTCTCTCTATGTCTCTCTCTCTCTATGTCTCTATCTCTCTCTCTCTCTCTCTCTTTTTAGGACTATACATTGACTATGTATTTCCAGCAAGCTTGGCGAGACAAGCGGTTATCCTACTCAGAGATTCCCCTCAATCTCACCCTGGATAACCGGGTAGCGGATCAGCTGTGGGTCCCGGACACCTACTTCCTAAATGACAAGAAGTCTTTTGTCCATGGTGTCACAGTGAAAAACAGAATGATTCGACTGCATCCAGATGGCACCGTGCTCTATAGCCTGAGGTAATGTTTGTAATGTTTCATAATTTAAAAAAAATCTATGACTTGACATTACTTTGGAGAATTAAGTAAATATTGCAACCAAACCATGTACAAAACCACACCTTGAATAGGCCTATCTCTACCCAATGAAGACAATGTTTGATGGCAAGTTCCCTAGTGAGCTGGTAGATTTAATCATCCATCATAGTTATCTCTCTAACTAGCCAACAGTGTGAGAGCAGATTATCCATATCCTTGAATATTCCCCAGATTCATTTTAACAAATTACAGGATCCTCTAGACAACAGCATCTGTCAACTGAAAAGCCTGTTTGACATTTAGGGTTGTTCAGATTGAGATGCTATTACCGGTTTCCTGATTAATGGTCTCTATATAAAGTGAATGGATTGCAATGGAATATTCCAATGGGATGTGATCTCATTAAAGTGTCAGTTGAACTCCATTTCTTATGGAGTACTTTGTGGGGTTCAATAATATGAGGCACTGCATAGCACATTTGTAATGTGGGTGGAATATGTATTGAAGAGTATAACGCCTGCTATGGATGATAATACACCTACTCAGCTCTTTGGAAGTTTCATCTGTTACTTAGAAAAGGGGCCTGAATAATGCCTACGCATCCCATTTGTAAACACAGGTTATTGAAAATCATCAAAACATAATGAAGACACCGCTGTGTGCAGATATCCCCCTATCCAATAAACTGAGTGGCTATTGCGGAGTTGCAGAAAATGGGAGGCGGGGGAAGGGGGACTGGTCGGAGAGGGAAGTGTTGGGTGCTCTGCTGTACAGTGCCTTCTGAAAGTATTCACACCCCTTGATTTTTCCAAAGGTTGTTTTGTTACAGCCTGAATTTAAAATGGATTCAATTGAGATATGTTTGTCACTTGCCTACGCACAATACCCCATAATGTCAAAGTGGAATTATGTTTTTCAAAATTTTTACAAATTAATGAAAAACTGAAATGTCTTGGGTCAATAAGTATTCAACCCCTTTGTTATGGCAAGCCTAAATGAGTTCAGGAGTAAAAATG